GGACTAATGTTTTTAGATGTTTTTACAGCTCAATGTATCCCCAAAGCCCTGGGTTCGATCCATCGAACCGTTTTCTACGTTTACTAAAACAACACAAAAAGTTCCTTTTTTCTCTTTCCTTTAATGTCGAGTTTGGAAAAAAAAAATTTAAAAAAACTATAAAAGGATCTTGTAAGACATTAATCCCAGTTTTTAACACTATTCTTATATTCTTTCTGTGGTCCATTGGTTGCTGAGGTATCGATGATCAAAGACAAAAGGATCCTTTTTCTTTTAAAGTCAGATATCTTAGCCACAAATTGACATAAAGAAAATATGAAAAAAGCTTATTAAAGGTGAACGAACATGCTATCCGGCCTATGCATTGATTTAACTAAAAAAAAATTCCCAACCAAAAACAAAAACAAGATAATTTAGAATTTTTTACTTAGGATTGCGTGGTAACCGTAGCACAAAAAAAAATGTTTGCCAAAAGATCTCAAAACTTAAAGCTTCCAAATGTTTTTTTTTAATCTAGATACGACAATTTTTAGATGAATTACAGCCTTTAAAAAATCACTAAAAAATTTAGGAAAAATTTTAGTGTATATGTATATTCACAAAAAATCGTCTTGTACCTTGGTCACTTGAGAGTTGGTAGATTTGGTTTCATTTTGGCGAAAAACGAATGAAAAAGGTCAAGTGATTGAAGAAAAAGTGTGGGATAAGAGTTTCTGTCTGAAATTTGGCAATTCTTGACCCAGTTGCAGGCATTTCGATCAATTACACAAGTCATGAAAGCACGTAAATTGCACCAAGTGTTAGAGCAATTAGACCTAATTGAAGTCATAGTCGTTTAGATTAGAAACAAAACGCCGCCAGTCTGGCAATCAGTGTCCTTAACGTACCTTCTGAAGTCGCCTCGAGCGTCAACAACAAACATTGAAGATGCTCCACGGCCTTGTAAATAGATGGGAAACCGTCATTCCATCGATTTGTAGTTGTTTTCGCCTTACCTTATGAACTCATCCGATACGTTAAGGTCACGTCGTGTTTAGTAATTAGTTATTGAAATGTGGAGTGTAGGTGGTAAGGCGTAACCATACAGCAAGTGATCTATTGTAGTAGCCGATACACATTTCTTAGGGCTTGGACATGTTCTAACCTTTATTTATAGAACGATTTTCACGTTGCAAACACATTATTAAACAATGATTAATCCCGACTCATTCTTTATTCCATCTATGACATCAAAATCAAAATTAACGAGGAAAATGTTAATTCTTACTCAAAAAACGTGACGCATAAATTTATTTACCTTCAATTGATTTTATTTATTGAAATCTTGAAACACGTGGTTACGACTCTTGTGCAAGAATCGATTGCTATCAAATGGAATTTTTTAAACACTGGGACTCATTGTCTATGTGCAACGAATTAGTACAACGACGAAAAAGCAGCGAATACCAGAACGTAATTATTTTCGCCTCACTAATAAAAAAATAAATAAAATCTAATTGTATGTGAAAATAAATAACATCCGCCTTTTTTATTTACTTGGTCGCGGTGTTCTAACTTCTTTGAAACAACAAATGCCAACCGATTGCATCTTTTCAGAGCTAGAAACACGAATTACATAATTATCCACCATAACATCAACCTTGTAACTATTAACACTCTTGGAACTAGCAGAAGATTCAACTCGATAATTTCTTTATGATCACAAACTACATAAAAACGCCACAAGGAAGATATCAAGTTTCTGGCTATAAATTAGAAGTAAATTTTTCAAAAACAAGTTCTTAATCCCGTTATAAACATTGCTTAAACTGTAGACTAAGTGTCTTTGCACATTTACATTACTCCTGATAAAACTGTATAAATTCCATCCTGTATCATATTTAGATAAGTCACCCCATGTTTGCTCAAATATTGTGAAAATACAAGTGTGTTAATTGAAAATTCCAAGAACTAAAAATGTTTAATTAAAAAACGATCAAACTTATTGGTACTTCAACCGACCTACCGAGTTGTAAATCAGTTAATTTCTTTAGAAATTAGTTCAATGAAGTCCAGACAATGAACTTAATGGCCCGCGTCTATTAGAATCAATCTCAAGTGTTCGGTAGTCTATACGAGGTGTATTTAGACTCGTAAAATTACTTGTGGAAATGATAAATGTCCCGTTTGTAAAATAAAGATTCGCAATGTTTGCTACTTGAAGAAGTTAATGCGTGTCGTCGGTGGTTTTAATTGCAATTTAGTATCAATTACAGTAATTTTGTCGTAAACACACGTTTAGTGAATGCCTCCATAAATTTGAAACTTTCATTATCAGAACTATCGAATTTTTCAAAGACTGTAATTAGACGCAACGCGTGGCTTGAATCGTTATCAAGATTAACCATAATTTTGATGAAGTTGTTGAAAAGCCTGCAGCAGAGTTGTCAGGTGTGTTCAACCCAGTTCTGCTAAAACATTTCGAAATCATTTTTGCTCTGTAAATATTTTCTGTTCTTGAATTTTAAAACCGATTCCGCAAATATTTGCATTCGAGTTTTCTTCCATCGAGCGACGATGTAAAAATACTCTTTCGCGTTCTTCTTATCAGTTCCCGCGACAGGTCGATTGGTATTCCTAACTTTCAAGTTATTTAAAGCAAAAAATACTTTTTATTTTCTACTCAATGTTAGAGTGCTTTTATCAACTAATTTCATTAGATAAATTAGTTTTTTATCGTCTAGTGAAATAAAGTAAATTTTATCTACTGCTCATTTTTCAAGAAATTCTGGTAGGTGAGTACAAAATAAAACGAAATATTATACACGACGATAAATATTGTTTATCTACTAGTGAAAAAAGTACACTCAAACGTTGAAATTTGCCCAAATTAATTGCGTTATAATGTTATTTATTTCATACTGTCAGGTAAATTAAGCTTCCCGGATCCATTTTAAGTACGCAAAGTGAGCTATTTCGACATCAGAATCGGTAAGTACGTAAAAGTCCGGTAAATGAGCTATTACGGTATCAGAGCCAGTAAATGTAACCATGCAACATTTACCGGATTATGGTTTTAATATCAATTTTTTTAGCAAATTTTCTTACAACAGTATGAAATAAAATACATTACAATATACTTACATCCGGTAAGTCTCTTACAGTACTCATTTTGATAATAAAACATCTCAAACGTCATGTAATCTTTGACTTACCGGACTACCACAAATAGAATTTTTTTTATTTTTAAGTATGGAATGTAAAAAAAACGCCTGGATATACAGCATTTAATAATTTGCAAAATTTAATTATGATTAATTGTTGGAAGATGAATTTGAAAGAGCTTTAATCATAAGTTCGACTTTAGTCTGCTGATTCATTATCGAACGATTCGGAAGATTTTCAGAATAAGTAATTTTCGTAATTAAAATTATTATAGTGAAAAAAAGGTGTCATTTTTGTCAGAAAGGACATAATAAATAAAAGAAAATATGAAGAAAATCTCTATCTAGCATTCAAAAAATGTTTAAACTTGCTTGAAATTTTTAACACTAATTTTTTCCGATATTTTACTTTTCAAATCTTTTAATAATGGATTAATAATTATGACAGAAACGCTAAATATTGTCATTCAAATAAAAGACAATAAATAAAAGAGAACATTTTTGTGCACTGTTTATTTCATAAAGTATTAAATTTATGTGGGAGAAATTTTAACACAATTTTATTCAGAAATTCACGTTGAAACCCGTAATTTATTCTTTTTATCAGACGGTATAATCTATACAAAAATTATAAGTTTCTACAAATTATCATAACTTATCTAAACGTTATTTAATTTTTTTTTGACTTTTTACTGTTTTTTACATAGTCCTTTGTAGTTGTAATAGGTTTAAAGAAAGAATCTTTCATTTTTACTTTTTTAAAAATTTCTCTTTCAATTTTTGTTAAAAAATACAATACGTTGAAACAATCAAAGAGGCCTGTGACTTAGAAATTAGGTTGGCAATCTTGAACTATGGCAAAAAACCTATTATCAATATTGAATCCTAACTGTTATCTGGTATGATCAAATAAATTTTGGGTCTAAATCGACTTTTTAGAAACAAAATTTGAGCCTTTCCTTAATTTAATACTTTAATTACTTGATGTGCTGTCACTCTACTTAAATTCAAAATCACAAGCCACTTTGATCATAAATTTAACCGAACGCCTGGTGAGTGCCAAAAAATAAACACGCAGAAATCATTATTTTGTTTAATTTTTATGTAATTTATTTAATAAAATTTGAAAACAGTGTAAATAACAGTTGTTCTGCATTCTTCTTGATCCAAATCAGGCTCGCCTCCTAAAATTCATTGTTTTCTTAATCGCCCAAGTTGTCCAAAGTGTGAGCGTATCTTAACCCACATTTGGGACATTATTATAATGTTGTTCCCATAAATTTGTTGTCTGTCTTTTGGGGGTCAAAAAATTTGGTAATTTCAACTTTTCTAAACCTTGATCCCACATTTCCCTAAATGAAATTAATTGTGTTTACGATCTAAGCCCATGTTTACAATTATTCGCAGATTTGTCGTAGGTGGTAACACTGGTCGGGAAATATTCTCGTATCTACCATTATAAAGTAATAATTTACAATTCAACAGTCTCTGTGATCTCCTATGATTACAAATGAACTTTAATTCTTATGTAGGAGGCCGCAGTAATTCCTGAAGAATTACAATGCAGGAGCAAGAAACTAGATTCAAATAGAGAGGTCACAGGATCGTAAATAACATTTTAGTGTTGGCATAACTGTCCGAGGGTTTATGCAAAATTCAGGTACAACGCGCGGCAAAATAAATGCCGTTTTGGAAGTGTCTAAATTACCGATTCGAGGCCTCAAGCTGTGGGCAAAATAAATGCCGTTTTGGAAGTGTTTGAGGACTCAAGCTGTGGTAAATGCGGGATGCAGCAGGGTGGTATTATCATGCGAAAAGCGGTGAGATGAGCAAGCAAGGGTAAATATAAATATTTACCTCACGTAAAACCACCTGCCACAACCAGGATTCGAACCACAAAATAGTTTATATTTATCACGAACTAACAGTCTCTGACACTTCGGACACGATTTTACAAAATCCGGATTGGCGTGAATAATAAACATCGCATATGCCTCTCACGAAGTTAAGTCGCCCGCGTGCTCCGCTGAACTCAAACATAATACACTCCCATGTGCGGTTTTGCTTATAACATCGTTATTTTTAGACCTTGATGTCATACAAACGCTGCACTATTGGCGGAACATGACATCATGTTTATCGGGATTGGTTGGAAGCGGCAACACACAGTCACGAATTTTAGATACATGCCCGCCAATGCGAGCAAATTGATCGAAAAATCAAGCGAGCTTTTGCCGTTTTTTTAATCGGAGCGTTAAACACTTCCCATCGGCGACTCGATCCTAAATAATTCACGTCCGGTATCAAATGTTTTCAGTTTTGTTGTTGTTAATTTTTATGGGCGCCACGCGTTATTTACTATTCGGCGATGGCATGCCCACTTTCACAATTTTTAACAGAAATGCAGCCAATTATTTGCATGTCATTTTGTATTCACCGCAGAAACCACGTTTGCTGAATTCCGAATTAAACTGCGTTTTTTTCCACTTTGGGATGTTGAAGAAGAGTTTCGGGTCTTTGTGGAATATGCCTTTCACTTTCCGATATACCGTTCCATCCGGTATCTGAGAGTTTGGCGGTTCAGTATGAAAAAGCTGGCTGAAATTGACCTTCAAAGCTAACAATTTTACAGCGCTTGAGCTGCCACTGTTAATGTTTATGTAAATAAAGTTAATATTGTTTTAATAATGCCTTTTGAAATGCCTTGGCCCTAATCGGTGATTTTTCATAAATGTAAACGAGATCGTAAAGCATGTTTAATTGGTGGATAATTGTTACAAACTTGGGTGGCAATAAAATTTTCTCAGAGGATTTTATTATGCCTTAACAACAAAACCACTAGGACTAGGATATTGGCTATTAATTACTAATTAGACAGTTGATTACTATAGCTTAAGACGAATTAGACCTACTTATTTACAAGACAAAATAAATTATTTCATTACTTTCAATTAAGCATGATTATAACGCGCTTTTTTATTCACTCTATCAATGAATGATCGGGAATTTTATTATCAAATGTTACTACAAATGATTTGAGGTTTGAGATTTTTAGATCGTATCCACTGATTTCCTAGAATTTTTAGATAAAGAAAACTGTTAAATAAATACATCAATTGACTGTTGATTTATTTGTTATTTTCATAAAGAAGTTACATATTTTTAAGTTGTAAAAGTTCCGTATTTTCACATATACAAAAAAACTAATACAGGATGTATACAAAAATAAGGAAGGGAGTTTGAAACCCTTTCAATTTTGATTTTTTAATTTAGTTGCTGTAGTTTGCATTTTTAATGTAAAATTTTGGTTGCAAAAATTAACTAAACCACAAATAAAGAGTGCAAACGTTTCATAAAATAATAAAAATTTTGCAAAGTGACGTTTTAAAACAGCCTTACTTTATGTCACTTTAACAATTATATCACACTTATGATCGTACATACCAAGTCAAGGCCATGAAATTTACACAGAAGTAGGCACAAGACGATGAAAGCTACTTTATACTTATTTAATTAAAACAAATTTTAGGTGATTTTTCAACTTAAAAAAATTACAGTTATTATATCTTCATTACAATTACTTTTTTCTACAATCATGTGTGAAGTTAAACTTCACACATCGAAATCAAGACGCGAAGGGTGCGAAATATAGCTCATTTCACACACAGCATTTCACGCACAGACAGAAACATTGTAATTAAATTTTGAAGTATTTTTTATTCTTGCGTTAAAAACAGTCGTTTTGCTCATTTAATATAAAAATGGCTATATTATTATTATTTGAATGTGAGTAATTCTTTATAGCTTTATTTTTATAAACGAAATTTTCATTGTAAGATTTATGTATGCAGGCCATAAAGTTTGGCTGTATATAAAGTTGCATAACCTTACGCAATTTTTGTTCTTTTGTCCTTTTAATATTTTGACTTTTGACAAGCAGAAACAATTTGTTGTTAAATAGAAAATTAAAAAAAAAACACAAATCAAAAGTTTTGACATTTTTTTCTTAAATGAAAAAATTGTGTTTAGGGTGACGCAAACTACGAAAATGTGAAATTACGTATTTCACTGCCATTGAAATGTATTTTTATAAAGTAAAAAATCTGATTTGTGAGTGGTTACACTAGAATCTCTTTTACTACAAACTTTATAAAAAAATTATTAAGTCGAATCCGGTCGATATTTTAGCCACATCGATGTAGCCCGCCATTTCCCAGTTTCACACGCTTGTCGCTTGTGCTGCCATCTTCAAACATCAAATCGTGCACTGTTCTGCAGAAGATGTAAAAAATGTGCTTAAATGTTGACAATTTTACATTGTTTTTAAGAAATCGATAACTTTTTAACAATCATTCGTTTTACTGTAAATCGTGGTCTGGTGAAACCGTGCTTGGAATTGCAATTAGTTGTGAAACAACATAATGCAGAACGACGCTTCTGCTACCATTGACATGGACTGAATCGTTGGGGAACGTATGCTTGATGCTATTAAGTTTTTTTGCGTGAAATTGTAGCGTCTTGCGACATGGAGGCCGAAAAAAAGGATTCGGAAGAAGGGACTTCATCCAGTACTGCAGATAACGTCATAAACGATGAAACTATTACCAAAACGCCGTCTGATACAAACTGGGAAGGTGCAAATAGTGGGACCACTCAAAATAGTGCAGATGTAGGAGGAAGTGATGATAATAATGAAGAGAAGCAAACCGTCGACCCGTCGATGGAAAACACCGAAAAAGGTGACGGAAATGCTCCTGAAAAGACTGAAGCGAAAGATGAAACAGTGAGTGAGAGTAAAATTGAAGAAAAGAGTGCGCCTGAGGATAATAAAGACACATCGGTTCAAGAATCGCCTCCAAAAGCGCCAGAGAAGGGTAAAAATTCTAAATGTCAAAATAAATTTTTTAGGTTATGATTGCAGATGACACTATTCTCAATGATGTAGACATAACAATGCCCCCAATCCAGACTTTGGGTAAAGGAAAACGGGCACGAATCCCAAATAAGCGTTACAGTGATATTTTGTTATCGCCTCAATCACGATCACATAAAACCAATTACGAAAACGGCGACAAACATGAAAAAATCGAACACGAAGCTGAAGACGATGAAATGGCAAATATCTCGGACGTTACATCACTTAAGTCGCGCACGGACAGCGACAGTCCAGCAGCGAAAAAAATGAGACTAGCTATAGACATATCAGACCCGAAGTATCGCAAACCGTTTTTGTACGGCTGGAAACGCGAATTGGTCTACAGAGCCACCAGTGATAACCCCAATAAACGAAATGGAGATATTTATTACTACACTCCAACAGGAAAAAAAGTACGATCTATGCGCGAGCTTGCGGAAAATTTAAAAGGCAGAGAACTAACTGTGGATAATTTTACTTTCTATAAAGAACCAATAGGTCTGGATGATCCAGAAAAAGAAATTATTCGGGATGCGAAAGCGTGGAATAAAAAGACGCCTGGGAAGGGGGGGATCAAAACGCCGAAAGTTTTGAGTCCGAAAATGGCAAGTCCAAAGGTGGGGACTCCAAAAGGGGGCACTCCGAAGGTTTTAAGCCCTAAAACTCCAGAACCGGAACCGCTGCAACCGACGAGGAAGTCGGGGCGGAATTTGGGCAATATCAAGGTATAGTTTTAGAGCTCTGGTTTATTTTAATGAGTAAGGCTCGGATTATATGAAAATGCATATTTGCAACAAAATTGTAAGGTTTCTATGTATGTCTAATGTTATTTGATTAAAATAAGTCAATTAAAAAATGCATATTTTGGCAACTTCGTGCATATTTGTGCATATTTTATTCAAATCACAAATTTCCGATAAAAAATTTCAGTTTAAGTTAAAAATTGGCCAGTTTAAGAAAAATGATCCGATTACAAAATATGTTAAAGAGAAAACAACGAGTATTTCGTAAGCCGGACTCAAAGAATTAGTATCCTGCTCAGTGTTTCCTCTTTAAATTCATTTTATACAGGGTGAATATGAAGTTTAGAACCAAACGTTTTTTTTAATTACTTGCCTCTAGAAAATAATAATTAATATGTAATAAAGTAATATAAAAAATTTGATCGTATTTTCAAAACGAAATTTTGTTTAGCTTTGAGTTATGCGATTTTTTTTTGTCAAAATTGTAATTTATGTAATTTTTTTTTAATTAATAAAAAGTAGATAGCCTCTAACACAGTTGTTTTTGAGAGAGTATACAAAACATTTTTTTTAGTGGGTTGCCATTTAAAAAAAAATAAATTTTTGTAGAACTCAAAAACAAAAAAATTCGAAAAATTTTTTTCTTGATAAAACATTTAATTCATCAATTAGTTAAAAGTAAAATAGTTTAAACAAAAAATGTTTGGTTCCATACTTTTTATTCACCTGGTATAAAACGAATAATGCCTTCTATGTGGATAAGTAATTGCCTGCAATTGAATTTTAGCAAAATTGTTTAAAGTGATGTAATAGTAATTTTATTTTGACGGTAACATGTGATCTGAAAAGTACAGATTTCTTAGAAAGGCTTAATTACTAGGTTGTTAAAATGGCTTATCTGAGGCAAAACCAATTCATTTATTCTCTTTCGTTCATCGTGTGCGGTTCAAGATGATGAAAATACAAACTTTAGTGTACTCGATGATAAAAATTTATTTCACCTTTGATTTTTTATTGTTAAGTTTTGCAAATTGATGCATCTTTGGATATATTCAAGCATATTTCTTAATATTTTGTGCATATTTTTGTGAAAATACGTGCATATACAGAGTGCGACAGAACTCGCGCCCCAGAGAAAAATGCCATTAAGGTTAAGATACAAGGAACATGGAAAAAATATTTAAAAAATTCCATCTATAAATATTTCGAAGTTATGAGTTTAAATTTTGCACTTTGTTTCTGTGTATTTCTGTTGGAAAAATAATTTTTCAAGTTTTTTTGCTATAGGCTATTAAAAGAGGAAACAATGAAGTTGTGTCCTAAATTGTAACTCTGTTCAATGTTATTTGTGGCCCTTATTGGTAGAATTTTTGTACCTTTATTAAATAACTGTAAAAAAAAAACCTATACAAAATTATCAGTATCATTAAATAAACATAAAAAATGTCAAATGGCAAAATTTTTTGACATATACAATTTTTTTCCATGTTCCTGGTATCTTATCTTGAAATTTTTCTCGGGGGCGCGAGTTCTGGCGCACCTGTATATGTGCATATTTTACGGATTTTCCGTGCATAATCCGAGCCTTATTAATGAGTAATATGTAATTGGTTAAGATTTTTGTATTGTTTTTATCTTAACGTTTTGTATTTTTTTTTCAAACAAATTATTTTTGACACGTATTTTTCATTCAATTCGGATTGCGGTGATTAATATAATCGATAAATCGGTAATCTAAACCTTAAGATTAATTTTTATATTTTTGTGTTTTTTAATCATGTTTTCGTTGCATCTCCATTTGGTTCATGTTTGCATCGCCATGGCAACTTTTTATTTCTTATCAAAATACTAAACTCTTAATTTTTGAAAGAATTTGCAGGTTAAGTTGCCACCTAGCAAGACCCGTTCTGATAGAAGAGGCAAAGTGGAAGAAGAACCCATGGAGGTGGAACCTTCCCTTTCCAAACGCGCAGCTTCTAAAAAAAACACTTCAAAAGCCCTACCCAAGTGAGTAGTCATCAATTAAATTGTCACCTAGCGCATGCCCTCACAGAAAACACTTGAAACAAAATTTTAATTGATTGTTTTATGCAAAAATTTAGTTTCAGGTGTGCTCTTGTTTTTTGTTAATTGTATTGGATGTAGTTTTTTGCTTCCACTCAAAAATAAATCACCCGTTCCCTCTCGAACTCCCAAATCCCTCACCACCGTCGTATTGCAGTGTAGAAATGGAGGGCAAACCCTGTCAACCCTGTTCGATTCGATGCCAGGGTGTTATGGGTATGGTACCGACGCTCCAATGTCGCATTTGCCTATGTTTATACCATTATGAGTGCGTTGGACTATCGTCGCATATTCAGATCCAAGCCTACGTTTGCAAGGTACGAAAAAGGGGGTAAAAATTGTTGCGTTTCAGTGCTACATTTTATAATGAAAAATTCAATTAGATTACAGGAAATTTTAGGTTTTTAATCTTATTTAACTTTAAAATTATTTTGATTGTTGTACAAAGTTTTCAGTTTTCTTTCTAATAGAAAGTGTAATTTTTGCATCGACTGGTGCCAAAAAGGGAAGCTGATGTGCTTATTAATCCAGTTGAGGTGTTTTCACGGGAATTAATTCGCACATTGAATGAGACGTTGAGTTGGTGCATTGACTAGTGGTTTTTTGTTCTGCAGAATTGCCAACTGGAGCATGGTCAGAGCGTCGCAACATCTGCGTCAATTGTTCTTCCACCTCTCACACCCATAAATACCCTGAAATCAATGACGACCCAGTCGTCAGTACTGCCAACTTTGCAACGAATACCACGGCCTGGAGATTCACCCCAACGGGATACTTCCATCTCGGGGGGAGTCCCAAACATGCCCCGATTGCTTCCCTTACCAAAAGACGTGCCAACGAAACAGAGCAAAAATCCTACTCAAACGGCGACAGAAACCAAAAGTTTGGTCGGTTCGGTGACGACATGGTTACCTCACAGTTCGACTATTCAAGTCGATAATATGAGGAATAAAGAAAATGAACCGATTGAGGCACCTAGACCTCAATATGTTGAGTATTTAGCTGGTCGGAAGTTTTTAATAATACCGAAACATAATGTTGTTTCGGTGTCACCGACTGTGACTAAACCGACGAATTTTGAGTCGGTTAGTGGTGAGGTTGAGGAACAATCACCGAAAAATACTCAAATTAGTTCAGACGAAGCGCCGGCTCAAAGTACCGATGAGGTACTACCGGACAATATTCAAGAATCTCAACCTGAAGAAAACAAACTAGAGTGAGTTTCTTTGTGACGTCATTAATTTGATTTTATTTTCAGGCGAACCACAATCCCACCTTTCGTTCCTTTATCATTTTTTTTTTGCAAAAACTGCTCCAATACATTAGCGCTCTTATGATTTGCTATGCTTACTAAAGGGCCGTCAAACGATTTTTTTGTTTGACTTTCCTTCTTATCGCTTGTCAATCTTTTGTTTGATCCTCATTCAAAAAGAAAATTTGTTACAGATCTGTTGAATCTCCAAGAACCACCAGACGTACCGCCAAATTAAACAGCACCTCTAGTGACAAACACGAAGAACCCCGATTCATGGATAATTATCTACAGAATCTTTCCTACGGCTACAACACACTTTTATACGTTTTTCAGTATCTGAAAGTACAAGATTTGTTAAGGGCGGGTTGTGTTTGCACCATGTGGAGGGATATTGCGAATCATCCGTCGTTATGGCGAACAGTTAGGATGAAAAATTCTCAAGTACATAGTTTTGAAGGGCTAGCAAATACTTTAAAAAAGCACGGAACTGTGCATCTCGATTTGAGAAAAATGCTGCTGCCGACGAATGGTGGCGATGATATTTGGCCAGAATTCTCCAGAGTCATTGAAAAGGTGCAGACTTTGAGGAAAATTGAGCTGTGCAGGTATGAGTTTATATCTAGTGAAATAAATAATCCATCCATACTGTATTGTATTCATTTTTAATTTTTTGCAGATGTCCGGCGTCCGTTGTTGAGCAACTCGCCGTCACCAACAAAGACTTGGAGGTGATAAACGCTGTAACAATAAAATGCGAAAGCATGAGTCTTGATAAGTTATCATTGCTCAAAAATTTGAAAGAATTGCGACTTAAATCGACGAGTGGTCTCACCCTTTCGTCTGATATTACATCACTCAAAGAATTAACAAGTCTGACCCATCTCTCATTGACCTCAATTAAGGACCTCAATAAAATGAGTTTGAGCGTCATAGCGGCGTTGAAAGATCTCGAATCTCTGGATTTAGGGGAATGTAACGATTTTCCAAGTACTTTCGGCGACGAGATTTTGATAAAACTGAAAAAGTTGGAGAAATTGCGGTTGGAGAAAGGTCAAGGGGAGTGTCATACGTTCGAGATTTTAGATGCTGTCAGACAAATGCCATATTTGGAGCAGTTGGAGTTGGTTAATTTCGACATAAAAAGCGGGTTTGATGTGGCGCTAGGAGCGTGTAGTAATATAAAAAAGTTGTTGATTATTCCAACTTACATTTCGCAAAGTGCCACGACGAATCACATGGTGTTAGGAGGTGTGCTGAGGTTGCAAAGCACGTTGTCGCATTTTGTATGGGGAGTTACTTTGGAGTTGTTACGTGTAACGGAGTTGTTCGTCGACCAGTGCGAAGATCCCGATAAGAAGGAAAAGAAAGATAAAAAAGCGGTCGGGAATGGGGATAGTATCCCGGTTTTGAAACCAGTACCTTTAATAACGGACAAATATGATGCTATACCACCAGCACACGATCCACCACAAGTTGAAATCTTACCACTTCCGAACCTACAAAAATTGTTACTGCAAAGTTTACCAACGACAAGGGTTAAGATTCTCAAAATTCCCTTTCATGCGACTTGGAGGCAGAGTATTACTGATACAGTTAATTAATTTAGGTTTTAGAGAATATTTTATTTAGTCTGTTGTACTGATAGCTGTAGATATTAGAAGAATCTGTTTTTGGATTTTGCTTTATCATCGATGTACAATATTCTTGTGTAAATTATAGATTAGGATTATTTGATCAAGATTTGTTTAAGATTCACAATTGCATGTTTAAGACTTTTTTTCGTATTTATATTTGAATCTTTTATTTTAATTAGGCATGTAAATTACGAAATTTTCAATAATAATTTTTTAAACTTTCGAACTGGTGTTTTTTGTAATTAAGTGATTTGGTGTAACAACTTGAATGCTTTATTTTTTAACGCTTACTACAACGTATTACAAAACAAACAGCTAGAAATAGACTAAGATTTACATGATGTTTTTTTATCGTAAATTTAATTCTGATCAATTTTACAATTACGTAGCAACACTTTTACCAAAGTTTTTGAAACGGCAAAAAGATAAGCTTTTGGCCCTAGATGTCTATCAGTGTGTTTCTTTACAGGTCACGGAACATTTAGCGTAAAAAACTGGTCCAATGAAAAAGTACTGTACGTATTGGGAAGATGCTTTTCTTTGATTCTCTCTTTTACAACGTAATCACGCGAAAGATTAAACAGGAATCGTTATTAAAACTGCGAGTTTTAATCTTACATTTAAATAAAAAAAAATTGTGTCAAAAGGTGAATCTACGATTTCCGAGTTGTATATTTCACAGCCCATGTCATAGTCACTCTTTGTGGCTGGTTTTTATTTAAGGATATAAATTTAGCTATTTTGATACAAGAATATTTTCCAACAGATAGAATGTGTATCTTGGACAGAAAACTGTTTTTTGTTCTTTATTCGTAGTCACGTTTGAAACGAATTGAATTTTTTCCTCCTTAAGACTGCGGTAACATTAGACAGTAATGAAGCTCTTGAAATAAAATGGGACAAAAGTAATTATGCTGTAATTTATTATTCTGAAATAAATTCGCGCAATTTAAAATTATCATATCGCATTGTTGAGCCGTTAAGATAAAATATTTTCTTTTACACCGAGTTTTCGAATTAATAATTCAAGGGATTTTTTGCATTTCACAAGTGAAAGGTAAAAATGATAACAGCAGCATAATGATATCTTTAAAATCAACAAATCAATGTCTTTGGGCCTCTCAAAGCAAAAATTAAAGCGGGTTAATTGGTTTTATGAACTTTTGTCCCCAATTAAGTGCGGAAATTAATTCACTAAGATTTGTCTGTTTTAATCCCAATATAATGCACGTTCTGGTTATGATGTCCATTATTACAATAATTGCTCTCGTCTTACAAGACGTACTTTACAAAATCGCATAAAATGAGCTTTGGTGGCTTAAGACAAATCTTAAGTGTTTCGATTATCCTAAATCTGGTAAAATTTCGCAGTTGGGTTGTCAAAATGGTGGATGCGCCGGGATTGAAACAATATCAGTGATTTTTTAAAACAAAATCTCTAGATATTAATGAAAAAGCTTTGAGCGAATTCAACAAAGTGAACTTCATTTAATTAGAGAGTATCCACAAAAAGTCCCAGAGCTGTTGAATGGAATACACGAAAGTTTTTCTTGTCTAACTTCGGTAAAAATGTTACTAGACCGTTAGAAGTGTTTCGTTTCGTGTAAGTTAGGAGTAATGTATGTACACCTAGTCACGACAAAGTACGCCTTATTATTAATTTATCACATTGATACAACCAATAAGTGATAACCGATTTCGTTGGCTCCCTTTCTGCGATTGAACACATTTGCTGCGCTATGCAGGGAAGCTCTTTCCAAACCTTTGTCCATAAATTTAACGATTTGCACTAAGAAGCCGAGTCGTTTGCTGGACTTCTGCATAATATCGTCGTCGTACTGATGATGGTGATGAGGAGAAACACTGCGAGCAAAAGTCGGTCCAAGACAATGGATGCCTGCTTCCATTCCAATTCTGTCAGTTCTCTTCTGTCTTGCTCTGTGAGCCGCTGCTCGTTTCTGTCGATGCTGGCGTGGACTTTGTTCAAGATTCTTATGATCTGGTTTTCGAAGGCGTCTGAGAATAGATTCAAAGATTTCACCGGAAACGATCATAATTAAGGCTCGGATTATATGCACGAAAAATCCGTAAAATATGCGCATATACATATGCACGTATTTTCACAAAAATATGCACAAAATATTAAGAAATATGCTCGAACATGTGCCAAATATGCATCGATATGCAAAACTTTTAACAATAAAAAATCAAAGTTGGAATACACTATAAAGTTTGTATGTTCGTTATCTTGAACCACACACGATGAATGAAAGAGAATAAATAAATTGGTTTTGCCTCAGACAAGCCATTTTTATAATCTAGTAATTAAGCCTTTCTAAGAAATTTGTACTTTGCAGATCACATGTTACCGTCAAGTTACTATTGTATCACTTTAAACAATTTTGCTAAAATTCATTTGAAGGCAACTACTTATCCACATAAAAGGATTTATTCGTTTTATACCAAATGAATAAAAAGTATGGAACCAAACATTTTTTGATTAAACTATTTAGTTTTTTAAAAACTAATTGATGAATTAAATGTTTTATCAAGAATAAAATTTTTATAACTTTTTGTTTTTGTTTTTTAGTTCTACAAAAATTATTATTTTTTAAATAGAAACCCACTAAAAAAATGTTTTGTATACTCTCCCAAAAACAACTGTGTTAGAGACTATCACTTTTTATTAATTTAAAAAAAAATACATAAATTACAATTTTGACAAAAAAGAATCGCATAACTCAAAGCAAAACAAAATTTCGTTTTGAAAATACGGTCAGATTTTTGTATATTACTTTATTTTATATTAATTTTATTATTTTCCAGAGGCAAATAATTAAAAAAAAACCGTTTGGTTCTAAACTTCATATTCACCCTGTATAAAATGAATTTAAAGAGGAAACACGTACTAATTCTATGAGTTTGGCTTTCGAATTACTGGTTGTTTTCTCTTTAACATATTTTGTAATCGGATCATTTTTCTTAAATTCTCCAATTTTTAACTTGAACTGAAATTTTTAATCGGAAATTTGTGATTTGAAGAAAATATGCACAAATATGCATTATTTCCTAAAATATGCACGAAGTTGCCAAAATATGCAAAATATGCATTTTTTAATTGACTTATTTTAATCAAAAAACATTAGACATGCATAGAAAACTTACAATTTTGTTGATATACCTCTTAATAACAAATATGCATTTTGCATATAATCCGAGCCTTAATCATAATTATAGATAAAAATATTACAATAGCTTTGCAAACAATAATTACTGGGAATTTTTGTAATTTAGAATTATTTATATGAACAATTTCTGTGTGGTAAGCTATGCAAATATAAAAGTAAAAATTTACCCAAGTCCTCTACCCTATGCCTTGGGACAAACCTAGGCGACCTTTGTTGTCGTTGTTGCAAGCAATAGCCATCTTCTTGGGGAAGTTTATCAGACCAAGGCCATGGACAGTCCAGTCTGGTTCCTGTTTGTGGATTTATTTCCTGTAAACAAGTCGATTCAAATTTTCACGATTTAGTTTAAACATAAATCTGGAATAAAGCCTTGGAAGTCTACTGATGAAGTGGAATCGAAACTTTGCGGATTACGCTAGGTGCTAGGTAATGGGACTAAATATTCTGATATTAAAACTTTAGTTATTGCGAATTGATCGCAGGGGCGAAGATGGAGAAATTAAACTTTGGGGTTGTCGGCACATACCTGAAATGCAAGCAGCTAAATTTTAATTAAAATAGATTTGACTAATTTTAAACTATTTCTTTGCGAGTGGCTAGGACGTGAAATTGTGGTCCTAATTTCCGCTCACTTTGAGCGTAAAAATGTATTGTTGTCAATTGCAGTTTCGGTAACTTTATTTGCAAACATCAAATGAAAATGAAAACGGTATTATACTTCTATTTTTTTTTAAGTATTATATTATCTAATTATATTTGCACAAAATAAGGTTGATAAATTTTTGAAAATATTCAGCGAAATCATTAATTTTTTTCAAAAGTTTTTAACATTTTTGTCCTGGCAGTTAGTATTATAACACAAAATCTTACTTTTTCTCAAGTTAGTGGTAATTTTAACTTGAAACTAATGCTTTATACACTACTCCAAAAAATTAAAGGAACAAAAATTTTTCCAAATTTTTTTAGTGATTCTTGAAATGGTTGTATTTAGATTTGTATTTAGTTTTGAAGCTTTAAGTTTCTAGTTTTGATATCTTTTGGTACGGTTACCACGTAATCCTATAAAAAAATTTTTGTTTTTGGTCCACTGATGTCGGGAATTTTTTTTTTTTTAGTTAAGTCAATGCATAGGCCGGATAGTTCGTTCACCTTTAATACGCTTTTTTCATATTCTCTTGACGTCAATTTGTCGCTGAGATTTTTTTTAAGAGTAGATAAACAATCTTTATCGTCGTGTATAATATTTCGTTTTTTTTTGTACTCTCCGAATTTCTTGAATATAAACAGTAGATAAAAATTATTTTATTTCAGTAGACGATAAAAGACTACTTTATCTATCGAAATTAGTTGATAAAAGCACTCTTTAACATTGAGTACAAAATAATTTTTTTTTTCGAAAATTAATCAGTATTGTTTCTTGATTTTTTTACATATAAAAAAACATCTAAAACTTTCTTTTGAATTTTTTTTTCAACGATTAAGCACAATACTGCTCTTGAATGTTTTTACAACTTGTCAAGAAAAAAAATTGTTTAATTTTTTTTTATCCAATCTAAAATTAAATTTTACCTACTCTTTTCTTTATGTTAAAATGAAATTTTATCGTCTAGATGATAAAAAATACATCCATTGTTGTATATCTGCGGTTGTTAGTTGCTAATTTTACTTTGACATTTAATAAATATCGAACAAATTGACAACAAAATTAGTGAGGATTGAATAAAATTTTATATTGTACACGACGATAAAATTTTCATCATCTTTTCGAGCAAATTAGCGTCTCGGCTGACACCGAAATAAAATTAAATTTTCTCGTCTTGTATAATAAATAATTATTATTTTTAGGAAATAACTAATGCGAAATTGTAAAAAAAGTTAAAAAAAAAGTTTTTTTTATTTTTATGAAAATTAGACAATATTCAGAAACAATACAGGGTGTCTGTTTCTCGAGCTTTACCATGGGGATCTCAGTGAGAGATACGAGGCCGGTTAAATTAGGGCAAAGTTGCGCATTGTTATGCTGAACAATTATGTGAAAGTACATTTAATGTGTCAGTTTTAGTTTTTGAATTATTAGAAAAAAACGGAAATTTGTAATTTTTTAACTAGGACGTTCTTAAGACACTTTTTAACAAGGAATCTAAAACTGTCATCGTATTTTCCAAGGCGTTCTTGATGTCAGATTTACAACACTCAACTTTGGATTTTCTTATGGACGCCATTATCAGTTTCTGAATTTTTGAAAAGTCTTTTTCCTGATTTAAGTCTCGATTCTTACGATATTACTTAGGATTACGTGGAAACCGTGGAAAAAAAAATTTTGCTAAAAGATCGAAAAACTAGAAACTTAAAGCTTCCAAATGGTTTTTTTAAAATCTACATACGACATTTTTTAGATGAATTACAGCCTTTAAAAATCACCATTCCTTTAATTTTTTGGAGTAGTGTAGTAATTTATTCACATTAGAGTTAAAATTGTTGACTGTAACTTATTATCAACGTTGCGATTTTAAAATTTGTTGCTTATCTCAACTGAAATACGTAACGAAATAATTATAACAAAGGTATTTCAAGTAAATAATTGTCACATTAATGTGTAAACCATTAAACACTCCAAATTATGATAATATGTACCTACAGCAGTGAGATAATATTACCCTTGAATTATCTCTGTTATCAATAGAACCTCGTGTATAAATTGATATCAGAATAACGTGTCACAAATTGTTAGCAAAACGTATGTGCTATTCCCTTTCATTGGTAATTAATATTTTTTTTTGTATGTTTTTCTACCAAATAATTGTATCATTTTCAGTACCTAAATCATGATTTGTAGTAAACGTCTAGTTAAATCAGAAAAACAAAGAAAGTTGCTGAAATACGTCCGGAACAACGACATAAAAGCCATAGTAAAGCTTCTAAAACACAACAATGAGTTACTCTGGGTTGAATATCACCACCCCTTCGACAATCAAAACATTTTTATAATCGCCTGCAACGATGGCAATTCCATGCACGACGTCAAAGGTGCAACGATTTCGACTTTAATTGATTTAGGAGCGAATTATACCCAACCGACCAAAAACGATCATTGGGAAGCGATTCATTATGCGGCTGTAAATGCAAACGCCGAGAAACTGCAAGCAATAGTTCAACATCTCACAGTTCAAGAAGCTAATTCATTAGTGTATTGTTCCAAACATGTGCCAAGCAAATACCCGTTTAGGCAAGACAAGACTTATTTCAAGAGTTACTCAAATAATGCCTTGAGTGTTATTTTGAAATATGGAAAACGAAGCGAAACGTTTTACGAGTGTTGTCAATTATTAATCCAGAAAGGTGTCAATGTTGATCAGGTTGACTCCAATGGATTAAAACCACTGGATTTGATAAAAAAAGACAAGAGATTAGTCGCAATTTTTGAAGAGTGTAACAAATGTGAAAAATTTTGCCAAGTGAAAAACACATTTGAGTTGGCAAAACTCAGACAAGTTGAAGAATTCTTAAAACTAGACTTGAGCAAAGAAGAAGCCAACGATGTTGATGGTAGTGATGAAGCTTTTTCCAGTTGTACTCTCCTCCAATTGTGTTGTGCCAAAGGACTGACTTCTTGTGTTAAACACCTCTTAGACAAAGGGGCAAACCCCAACAAAACTTTCGTAAAAAACACAAATTCGCCAATTATGATTGCAATCAAAGAAGATCACGAAGATATAGTTAGACTACTTCTAGAAAACCCAGATTTAGTACTGCCTGAAGACATTCTAATCAAATTACAAATCAAATACAAGAATGTCAAGAATTTTGCCCGAATTGATAAATACATGGAATTGGTTTTGAAACACTTGCACAAATATGACAAGTCAAAACTTTCGAAATATTTATTAGCCAAGGATGAACTCAACCGAACTGCTCTTCACTACGCTACTCATTATAGATGCTCTGAAAATATTCTTGAATTGCTGTCATTGGGGGCCCCCTTGACGGAAAAAGATCTTTTCGGATTCACTCCAATGCATTCGATTGAGGCCAGTGTTTTGGAGCAGTTTTTCGACAATTGTATAAATGTTCCCAAAAATGAGAAAGATATCGATAACATGCTTTACGAACTGCGGAACAAGAAACAAAAATTTGCGATTGAAATTAACTACGAGTCTCTGATTGGAGTTAATGGTGAGAGTGACGTACACGAATCCGAATTTCTTGACCAGTTGGTTAAATTGAAAAATTTGACGTATCTTTTGAACCATCCTGTAATATCGAGCTATTTATCTGTGAAGTGGCGTCGATTCAGATGGGCGGTTTATGTGAATTTATTGTTGTATTTTATCGCATATGGATCTCTTTTATTTTACGGATTTGCTTATTCAACTTATTCTACGACGTCTAATAGTTTATTAATAGTTTCGGTTGATTTGATGTTCATGCTTGAATTTTTACAAATGTTGATTTTTCGTACCGATTACATCAAACGTGTGGAAAATATCATCGATATTATTCTAATCGCAGGAGTTGTATACATTATTGCAGCCGGTTGGTTTGAAACTTTACTTAATCAGAATTTACGAGTCGCTTTTTCAATCGTTTTTCTTACTTCGACTTTGGGCATTTTTATGCAATTGGGAAATCTTCCATTTTTCACGGTCAAGGTTATTATTCTCAAACAAATCTGCATTAGTTTTTGCAAATATATGATTTTTTATGTGTTTCCAGTCATGGCTTTCTTTTTCTGTTTCTACATGTTGCGTGAAACTGACGAGGATGTTTTCTTCCAAACACTCTACGATGTGACTACGATGTTTGCCGGTGATCCGGATTCAAATTACCCTCAACAATTTTCAACAAACCCCATTTTCAGCCACATTATTTATGTTGTGTTTATTGTTTTGATAGGGATTATTTTGCAAAATTTATTAATTGGTTTGGCCGTCAGTGACTTGCAAGAAATTCAAAAAGAAGCTCAATTTATTGATAAAAAAGAACGGGCGCACTATATCACAAATATTGAGAGAGTTATTTTTGGAAAATACCGAGAGTCGTCTTATAAAATTTGTAAAAGGTTTTTTAGGAAATTGCTTCGGATGTGTAATGTTTTTACAAAAGATCGGGTTTTAGTCATACAACCGTATAATTACGGATGTGTTTATGTAAAAGATAATCCGGGAAATAAACAATACATTCGTGATCAAACTATTATCGATTTACTGCAAAATATCTTTAAAGATTTATTTCTTAACAAGAATCAGGAAACTGAAGCCCCCTATTCTTTGAAGGTGATCTACGATAGACTTCAAAGAATTGAGTATTTACTCGAAAAACTTGATCTGGATGAATTATTGAAGAAATAAAAATTATTCACTGCTTATTTGTTTTTTTTTTTAGTTTAACAGGATGTCTCACTACTGCTACTTTTGTCTGCTGACATCATCAGCTGTAATATACTACTTCAAAAATTAAAGAAACAAAAATTTTTCCTAAATTTTTTGGTGATTTTTGAAAGGCTGTAATTCATCTAAAAATGGTCGTATTTAGATTAGAAAAAAACTGTTTTGAAGCTTTAAGTTTTTAGTTTTGAGATATTTTGGTATTTTTTTTCTGTTGTACTGTTACCACGCAATCCTAAGTAATATCGTGAGGAAAAAAATCTAATTTTTTTTGTTTTCGGTCCATGGAGATCGCGATTTTTTTTTAGTTAAGTCAATGCATAGTCCATGTTCGTTCACCTTTAATACGCTTTTTTCATATTCTCTTAACGTCAATTTGTCGCTGAGATATCTGACTTTAAATGAAAAAAAAAATCTTTTTGTCTTTGATCACCGATATCTCAGCAACCAATGACTACACAGAGAATATAAGGGTAGAGTCAAAAACTGCTGGAATAAATGTCCCATAAGATTCTTTTATGAGTTTTTGGGGAAAAATTTTTTTGATCCTCAACATGGATTTAAAGAAAAGAGAAAAAAGTAACTTTTTTCGTTGTTTTAATAAATCTACCGCGTATTCACTAAAATTGATGGAGAGACTAATGTTTTTAGGTGTTTTTACAGCTTAATGTACCCCTCATAGGCCTGTAAATTTTTAAATTGTTCCAACACACCGTTGTCGGGGACAGATTGATCAAAGTTTTACAAAAGAATTAAAGGAACTATTGTATATATTGTTTCTGAACATTGTCTACTCGTTGTCAAAATGAGATAAACATTTTTTTTCAGCTTTTCTACAATTTTGCATTATTATTTAAATTAAAAAAATTTCCAAAAAAAATTCAAAAAAATAGTCCAAAATAAATTCAAAAAATATTTTAGTGAACGAACATGCTATCCGGCCTATACATTGATTTAACTAAAAAAAATTCCAGACGTCCATGGACCAAAAACAAAAACAAGAAAATTTAGAATTCTTTATTCTCACGATATTACTTAGGACTGCGTGGTAACCGTAGCACAGAAAAAAAAATGACAAAAGATCTCAAAACTACAAACTTAAAACTTCCAAATGGTTTTTTAAAATCTAGATACGACAATTTTTAGATGAAATTACAGCCTTTAAAAAATCACCAAAAAATTTAGAAATAATGTTTCTGCCTTTAATTTTTTGGAGTAGGTAGTGTATAAAAAAACTGAAAAAAATCCGTTTTCAAACGAAACGAGAAATCAATTCCCAACAACTAATCCTTGGACACTGTAGGTACCTACAACATTTTTTCACGTTTTGATTAAGCAGAAACAAGGATTTGTTCGTTTTATTTTTTATTTTCCTTAAATTCGAAGTGAGGTGAGGTGTGACGTATTTGGCTTTCTTGAAATTCGTGCTGCGTTTTTTCCCACTTAAAATTCGAGCACGTTTTCCGTTCATTGTTTACATGTGAAGTAGATTTGATTTTATCGCCTGACTTGCAAGTCGTAATTGCGAGAATTGTTGTTAAATTGATCTGGAACCATTATCCCATTAATAAGTTTTCACTTTTGAAAAAATCCAATTCGCAAAATTTATGTCTTCATAAACTGTTGCAAATCATAATAGAGTCAAAAGTTGTAAGACAGATAAATCGCTCACGTGAGACGATTTGGAGAATCCTCATAAATCAATTTCTTAAAAAAATTACAAGTCATCTTCTCCATAGACAAAATGCGATACGTTGGCTATCATTTCTTACACATTTCCTTGAGTTTCTAATATCTCACGTAAACCATGAAAAATTCATGGCGCCATTCTCAAGCCCTAATGATAAATTCTTAAGCTTTGACAATGGTTTCGTTTTTCGCGTATGATGGCTTCGTAACATCATTAATTTTATTATAATTTCACCGCATTCAAGCTTAAATCAAAGTAATCAATCATCAAAACGTATCGGTTAACACAACAAAATATTTTTTCGCTCGACAGGAAGCAGAAATGATAAATTAATAAGCGGCGTTGTGAAGGTGGTAGAATTTCACCGGAGATGTAGGTCGCAGTCTTTAAGTCCCCCTTAATGAATGCGAGCACACAAGACACACCATTTAACATTCCGCACGCGGAATTCGCATTAATTTAACAGAATATTTTTGCAATATTTTTTCTTACCTGTATTTGGGAATTTCGATGTCGGGTGTTGGTCTCGAAACGCATAAAAACGAGAGGGGCCAGTTTGTCCAAGACCACAGTTCTTATGATTTTTGGCACTGCTGAGCCTCGAACTCCTCGATGATAAATATTGAGGGTCACCACCGAAAGACCGGAAGCGAATGAGACAAGACAGATGCTCACCCCATAGTACATACCTTAAAAAGCCGAAAAAAAGATAACAAATTTGCGGGAGTGCTTAGACTGCGTCTTTCTTGATGAACATGCGACTTTATTCAAAGGAAAAAGCGAAAGTAAATCACCAAGTGCACAAAGTTTGCAGGAAAAGTGCGGTCGCTTAGCAATTTCCTTTTTCTTGTGACAGGAAAACACGAGTCTGCAACGAACGAAATTCCCAATTTATATTTTAAATAATTAACAATTAACAGTCACTCAGTTATTTTAATTAAAATGAAATTCCCTAATCTAGAATTTTTTTGAAGAGTTTATTAGATAAAAATTAGGAGTCAGTTAGGGTTTCGTTATGAATTTTGGAATAAATGTTGAATTAAATTGCAAGTCTAAAGTTCTTCTTGTAGAAGATACAACACAAATATTTATTGTCTTCCCTGATGTATCGATTTGAGAATTTGCTGTATCGTGTTTAATATAAATTATAGGTAATTCAAACGTTAAAATTTAGAATTTTAGAATCTAGAAGTTTAAAAAACTATTGTAGGTATTAAAAAAAAATTGTTCTATCACGATTTAAAAAAAAAAGAAAAAGTTTTTACTGAAATCATCATCGTAAATCATCAACATAAATCATAATCGTTTAGATCCTGCTCAATGAAAATATTTTCAAAATGACAGCTCTTCCGGTTACACCGGAAATCGATTTTAAATAGAAAGTTATGTTTTAATTGCGTTTTTGGATTACTCAAGTGATTATGAGAAAGTTTTCATCAGACTTCCCTATACTTACCTAAATTTAACCGTTTTTGAAATATTTATTAAATCAACAACTGTAACATTTTTAATTACTTTGAAATCGTATTTAGGCATATGAAAAAGAAAGGTTACATCTTTTCTTTCGTGTATTTATAATTGGAAAAATGATTAACAAACCTTCAAAATTTAAGTTACGTTTGGGAAACTTCAAATATACTCGTAACTAAATTTTTTCAAATGAATGAAAGAGAATTTAATTCTGCATCAATTTGTATCAACCTAAATTTAATGATTTCCAAGCTATTTTAACCCTTTTACAATGGAAAAAATTCGCTACTATCCATGGTAGTTTACGCATAGTTTGCCCATGGAAATATTTTTCACTGAAAAAACGGCAAGTTTTTTTTTACAATTGTGTTATTCTTCTAAAACCAAAGTAAATTTATTTAATCTGAATAACTTTGATATTCTATTTTTTTCTATGCTCAAGTAGCTATGGCTAATGAATTTCTCTCAATATTAAAAGGAGTTACTATAACTTGAAAACTATCAAACATAGGTATAAGGAATATTAATACAGATCGAAGCAGAACTAAGTTGTCCTCCATTTAGTGAAGAAAAAAATGGGGTGTTTCATTTAGAAAAATTTTGTTAAGGGTATTTGAGGTTTCCTAAACGTAACAACATTTTGGCGGTTTGTTAATTATTTTTTCAATTATGAATGCATCAAAGGAAAGATCTAACCTTTCTCTCTCGTATACCCAAAAACGGTTTCAACATAATAAAAAATGGTAGAGTTATCGCTTTTTGAATGAGAAGATTCAAATCCAAAATTTTTTAAAAAGGTATTTCGAAAACGGTTAAACTTGTGCCGCCATCTTGAAAAAAAATTCATTCAGCAGAATCTAACCGATTATGGCTATGAACAAAATTTTAGATAAATATCATTTTTAGAACTCCCAATACTTCTAATGTGGAGTAGTGGAGTTTAGACGGAACTCCTGTATATCTTGTACAATTTTGCTTCTGAATCTAGTAAAATAATTATTTTGTTAATTAGTACAATTGTAATAATGAAAATTATCTTTCTGCTTTCAAGACATAATTGCTTTATTGACTTTCGTACGCTATTAAATTACATAATTCAAATATATCTCATCCCCACTATTTCCTTTAAAATATAAAGCTGTAAAATTGTAATTATTGCGTTATTTATTAAAACGGAAGTGGCCTGATTTTTATGCAGGAATTTCGCCTTCCGGACCCTTGTATCATTTATTAAAACACTTTGTACTCACCTGTGCTTGACCTAGTTAAGAATTGGACGTAAAAATTTAAAGAAAATATTGGTGAAGAAATTTCATTGTCGCCAACTTCGAAGTTCGTTAAATTTTTTCCGCGAGTTTAAAATTAAGAAAGTGCGAGAGTAGATTATCGATCGGATTGAACGAGACGGTAAGGCTTTTTATTAAGAACATAAAGGGCTGATTTTAACGAGAATAAGCTGTTTTCAGTGGTTTCAGATTTCAGACACGTCAAACGCCAACTCGACGAATTGATTATGAGATGATCAATTCAGATTTCAGTTGAATTTATTCAGCTGCAAAAAACGTCTCAAACTTACTAATTAGCGGCGTTTTTTCAGTCGGCGGCAGAGTTTCCCGTATCGTCATCAAAAACACTGTCATTGAGAGCAGGGCACTTATCCCAAGGGTTACTTTTTCGCCCGATTCCGAAGGAACATAAAAGACCAAGAGTGCTGCAAATAAATACAGATGATCCATTCAACCGCTGAGTGATAAATTACCTATGCCGTTGATTAGGATACAGGGCAGGATTAAATTAAAAACGTAAAAAAGAGGGCGCCGTTTTAGCTTGATGGTGTAGGTTATATCAGGGTAAGGCTCGGGACAACACGAGTAAAATTCGATATGTTTCACTGAGGAAAAACTAATCAAGTCGAATTCACCATTGGCTTGGTAGTTGCTGACATCACCCTCTTCAGTTTGCTTGGCCAGTTCGACCTGCAAAAATATTTTAAATTAAATAAAAATTGACGCGAAACTCGGGATAAAAATGACGAAGCTGTGGTAAATTTTTCATTGCACATTGTCCACATTTTCTTTTTGTTTCATCTTATAAATAGTTGGTTCTAGGAAATTGTCTCTTAGATCATAGTTCTTTTGGTGTTCTTTTTTTCTAGTCAGACGACGTATGGAAATGACATTTTGCAAACGGGTTATTGATTGCTACTTTTCGTCCGAATTTTCAGAATTTCCTTAAAAATATTTTATTCCAATGAGCTGACAGAATGATTAATATTTGAGATAATGTAACTTCGAGAATCTCTATCGAGAGACAATCTCAAAACTCTTAAAGAATACGTTTTTTGATTTTTTTTGTGATATCATTTCTCAAGCGCTACCGCCAAGGGAAATTTACAAGAGAAAAACTGCCGCATCATACACGTACCCTCTAAAACGCCAATTTTGCATTATTTGTACAAATATTGTATAAATTGTATAAATATTTTTCCTCTGCGGGAAAAATGTTGTTAGCAAAATATCTGAACAAATAATTGGGTGTATTTTTTGGTCTTACCAACAACACGTAATTGTTTAGTTTCCACCACCAATTCATGAATTTGTACATGTAAGTAAGTTCAATAAAAAATGTCAGATTAACATATTTTCATAATAAGAAAATTCTTTTGATCCTCTTTAAATACTTTCGTGAAATTCTTGTGATATGTTGACATTTCCTTAGGATTTTATATTTCCTTTTTTAGAAATCAAACAGGTTCGGCGAACCATAATTTGAAAACAGTATATCTAAGGAATTCGCGTAAAATCTCATTCATTCAGTAGCGTTTGTCTGGTTTGTCAGTTTTTAAAACCAACTATACAGTATGTCCCAAAAAGAAGTTATAATACAAATTTATGTTTTTTTTTTAATAAAATGCCATGTTTCTTGGTATTTTTGGATGAAACTTTTTATTACAACATGTCTTTAAAAACTGACCTTTTATTGATCGATTTTGCTTAGTTTTTGACAAAACATTCACCTTTTAAAAATTTCTTACACAAAAACTAAGGCAGCTAGAAAGAAAATGTTTCTACTACTACAAAGAAGAAAGTACCAACTTTAAAGGTATAACAGTTTTTTATTGCATTTGTAAAGACAAAAAATGTAGAAAAATGTAAAAACTTAAATAGTTTAAATGAAACACACTACTTTTTGTTTTTGCAATTAATAGATTGTTAAATTGCCTGTCTAACTAAAAACATACTTTTAATTCTCTGAAATAAATCTTTTAAATGCAAAATCAATAAATAGGGTGTTCCAATAAAAAATTTAAGGAATTGGTCTTTACCAAACTTCTTCATTTTTTGCGCATTATTTTACATTTTTACTTCAGTAAAAAAATAAGACAAGTCTTGTAGAAGGATTAATTTCTTGTTTTTGTTGATGTTTCAACTTGAGAATTTGCTCCAGATGTCGGGTTCATTTTCAAAATAAATGAGAAACATCTACTTCTTGGATATTACGTTTTAATGGTTTCAGTTATAAAATTTAGAGATTGTTATTGTTCGATAAAATCATTAATATTGGAGAAAATGTTACATTGGGAATCTCTAGCGAAAGAGTTTTTTGATTTTTTCACTTGCTATTATTTCTCAAGCAGTGCCGCCACGGAAAAATTACTGTTTCAACAAGAGAAAAAATGCGTCATTAGACAGATACAGATATATTTTATTTTTACTAGTGTAGCAAAGCACTGCTTATGTACAAATTGTTGTAGATAGCATATTTATGCTCAGCGGGAAAATACGATCAAATAATTTGGTGTCGATGCTTTGTTTTTTTTTGTTCAGTAGTTTCCTTTTAACGACTTGTAATAAGGTATATTCCGTAATAAATGCCTAACTTCATTTGCACAATAAGAAAATTCCAGGATAATTCCAGAATAATCCAGGAAATTTTATATTTTTTTCTGAAACAAACAGATTCGGTGAAGCTGGAATAAAACAGTATCTAAATCAGTTTTCGAGTAAAAATTTATTCGGTGGCGTTTTTGTCTCGGATAATGAATAATAATGGTTTTTCCGTTTTTAGAACTTAGCAAACTATCGGTTTAAATACGTTGATGCAAATTGAATTTCGCCCAAGGGACATAAAGCGAATATTTGCACATCGTGCTTCAGTATAAAGATAAATCAGAATTCATCACCGACGAAATTAGCAACGATTTTTACTGCAACTGTGTAGTGCAAAGTAAAACGTGTCACTTCTGGATGACAACATTTTACAAACTTTTTGCATTTGCATGAAGTTTCGGTGTTTTAACACAAAAGGAAGTAAGGAAAAGATGACATTTATCCCTTGAAATTTTTCTAGTTATTTTTAATTGTTGACTCTTCAAAAGGGCGAAACAAATTGATATTTGGCAATGCGCTTGGTTTCCAGTACATTCTGCTAAGCTCTCGTGATAATATGGGGATTGGCAAAGCACGAAGCTGGATATAACGGGAACATATAGAGATTCCTCTTATCTAATTTGGAATTAGAGCTACTGATACCGGATTTCAATCTTTTCAATGGATGTTTTTTAGTCGAATGCCTGGCTTCAACACACATTTACTAGCTATTATAATCCTTTCTGCGTCTACTTATGACCCATATTAAATTCTTCAGAATGATTTCGCATAGAAATACCGTGGAACTTCCAGCAACGCGGCAAGTTTTCAATATAGAAAAAATGAAATTACATTTTATTTTAAGTCGCGCAACGATATTGCTTTTGGAGCTTCCTGAAAGGTATGTGGCTTCAGTTTTGGTTAAAATTAGCATCCGAATTGGTACGAATCTGATTCAATTTAGTTTGAAGTCGCTACATAAACGTTTCGATTTTAGTAAAAAACACACTAAAGTCAATTTATAATATGCACCAGAACGCAGTTTTTACGTTTTTGAACCATCTGTTATTAGACAAGTTATTACCTGTAAAGGTCTAAATCCGGAAATAAGATGACAGGGAATAATTGAGTGTGGAAGAAATTCCCAAAGACAAAATGCTTGTCAGCAGGAGATTTATGATAGTTGGTTGACAAAGGTCTCAGCGAATCTTGTCACAAGAGTCTGCGGTGTGATTTTTTAGAATAATATGACGACAAGTGTCGGAGGCACTTCAGAGATTTCGTTACGTGGCTGATAGCTATTTATTTGAATAAAGTTTCAGAAGACTTGGAATTTGATTCCAAAGAAAAGTACAAAACAAAATTATCTGTTTTTTTAATTCGCATGATGTGTATTTAATAAAACCCATATCCGGCGGATAAACATAAGTAAATGTTTTATATTTACTTTTTTAAATGTGAATTTTGGAACAAATGTTCTTTCACAAGGAAAACGTGAAATAAATTTTTACTGTTAGACAATATTTATGTTGCTATTTGTCTGTCTTGTCTAAATCCCAAAATCCTAAAAAATCCAATTCTTGTCTATCGAAATCAAGACAAAATAACAATTAAAATTAGAAAAACAGAAAGTAAAGCAGTAAGAGGATTTCAATGTGGGCTTTTAAATATTTTCATCCACAAAAGTTTTAAAGTGACCGAAAATGATCGCAAATGCGATTTTTAACGTAATTTAAAATCAGCAGCCGCCGAGGCAATCAATTAATTTTTTTAACCAGCAAGTTTATAAAAGCTGTCAGTTCATCAAGTCTATGTCAGCAATATTGTTAGAGAGGTTGTAAGCACATTAGTAGGGTTCTTCACCGAACCGACAACTTGTAACATGGAAACCCTCTTCGAAATATGATTCGCTCAATAATCCCACAAGCGTCATCTATCAATCATTAAAATTGCACATTTTCGATCAGATGCCACCGAACTGAATGTGCACATTCACAGACCACGAATTAAGAGAAGTTTTAATCCAAATTCGTTTTTTGGGAATAAGATCTTTTTAGTACAGAATAATTAACCGCATACCTGATAGCCATCATAAGTCCACGACGCCCACTTCATGTGGCAGCTTTGCAGGTCAAAGGGGAAGTACTCGACGTTGATGTCGCAGGACGAGCGGTATATACCATGGCTTAGCCACAAGACCTCACCGGAACTCGACACTATCACATTCGTGTTGATTACGGATGACTGAAATTGAGGGTCGGCGCTAAAAATAAAACACTTTGTATGAGTTAATTCGAAATCGGTGCGACTAATGCAAATTGAAAGCTTTACTGAAAATGATGCACCGGTTTATAGCCAGTCTATAAAAGAGACAGTTATTATTAGTGGTTCAAGTCTTAAATTCTGCCGTTTTCTCCCAGAGGAATCTCTACGACAATGTAACATAATTTGTAGTTGATTGAATTCGCAACAAAGAAGCTTTTCTTGTGTCAACATTTAAATAAATTTTAAATCAATTGAAGTTACACAGATAACTTCAAAGCCCTAGTTTAATCCAAATTACACTACTTCAAAAATTAAAGAAACTAAAATTTTTTGGTGATATTTTAAAGGCTGTTTTTTATCTAAAAATTGTCGTATCTAGATTAAAAAAAAACATTTGGAAACTAAGTTTCGGCAAAAAAAATTTTTATCATGAGAAAAAAAATCTTAATTTTCTTGTTTTTGTTTTTGGTCCACAGACGTCGGGAATTTATTTAGGTAAAAGAAGAATTAAAAGAACAATTGCACATATTTTTTCTGAATATTGTCTAATCTTCATCAACATAAAAAAAAACAATTTTTTTCGACTTTTTTTACAATTAATGTTAAACAATTTTTTTTATTTTTTTTTTGAAAATCTGTAAAAACATTCAAGAAATAATTCCTAATAGCTTATTTAAAAAAAATAAAAAAAAATGTTTTAGATTTTTTAAATTTGAAAAAAATTCAAGAAACAATACTGATTAATTTTTGATTTTGACGAAAAGTAGAAAATGTTCAGAAATAATACGTACAATTGTCCCTCAAATTCTTTTGTAAAACTTTGATCAATCGGTCCGAGAAAACGGTGTGATGGATCGATTTAAAAATTCACAGGCATATGAGGGGTACATTAAGCTGTAAAAACACCTAAAAACATTAGTCTCTCCATCAGTATTAGTGAATACGCGGTAGATTTATTAAAACAACGCAAAAAATTATATTTTTCTCTTTTCTTAAAATCCTTTAAATGTTGAGGGAGAAAAAAAATCCAAAAAATCATAAAAGAATCTTATAAGACATTTATTCCAGCAGTTTTTGACACTACCTTTATATTCTCTGTGTAGTCATAGTCATTGGTTGCTGAGATATCGGTGATCAAAGACAAAAGGATCTTTTTTCATTTAAAGTCAGATATCTCAGCGACAAATTGTCGTAAAGAGAATATGAAGAACGCATATTAAAGGTAAACAAACATGCTATCTGGCCTATAAATTGACATAACTAAAAAAAATCCCGACGTCCGTGGACCAAAAACAAAAACAAGAAAATTTAGAATTTTTTTCTCACGATATTACTTAGGATTGCGTGGTAACCATAAAACAGAAAAAAAAATACCAAAAAATCTCAAAACTAGAAACTTAAAGCTTCAAAATTGTTTTTTTTTTATCTAAATACTACCATTTTTAGATGAATTACAGCCTTTCAAAAATCACCAAAAAATTTGGGAAAAATTTTTATTTCTTTAATTTTTTGGAGTACTTAGTGTACAATTTTCGGAATCGGAAAAATCACGATAAATAAAAAACTCGCTTGTGGGTCTTATATTTATGGACTTTTATGAGACAAAAAATTATGTTTTTAATATTGTAGACAACTCAAGAATAAGCCAAAGAAAAATATAAACAAGAAAAAAGTATGAATCGAGTTCAGACTAGATTAATTTCTATTATTTTTTAAAAAAGGTGTGACAAATGATTTTTCTCCCAACAGGCAATAAAGTGAAGCTTTATTCCCTCATTTTTGACTAATAAACTACCACTTTATTTCCTTGATAATTAAGGAAATGAAATACCGATTTTTACTCTTACAATAAACTGGAATTGATTAAATTGAATTTTTTGAGGGTTTTTTGACATAAACAAACTCCTAGATGCCGATTTTTACTCTTAAAATTGCAAATGTATGAACTGTATATTTTTACGAATTATTTAACATTTTTTGTCAACTTTTATCATTGTCTTACGTTATTTTAACTTACTCGTAGTCTGTAGGGAGAAAAATTTTGTAGGCATTTCTAGAATAAACATCGTTAATCCCTCGAGTAAAAATGCCCTCGGCATCAAAATATTAGTTTATTCCCTTGATACTTACATAACTATTACAAAAAAATATAGAGAATAAATCAGATAAATAAAAAATTGACCACTATTCAATGTTTTTCGGAAAAATATTTTTCAAATTCACTTAACATTTTGTTACTTTACCAGAAGTCTATTTTGTTTAAAAAAATGTCGGCAATTTAGCTGTAACTCTGTTTCAACCAACTTGGCAAATTTCTCTCTTGAGACGTCAAGCTAGAATGATCTACAAAGATTAAATAGTTCAGAGTTCGACCCACCTCTTGAAGGTCAAGGGATTAGTTACTAGACTCACTTCCCTTAGATTATATTTAACAGTTACGAAATTAAATTAGAATCTTTCCATATAAACTTTACGTTAGAATAAAACTTTTATAACCGTGAAGACTGCTCTATTATTTGCACAGAATAATTGTCACATTATTTTGTAACGACCCCATCTTTTTCTGCTATAATGTCACAGTTTGGTAAAAAAAATCAAGTAATTTACCTTCCAATAAGCAAGTATCACCAAACTCCCAATATTGAGGTTGGTATAATTTAGTTATGCTTTGAAGTTACTGTTATGGAAGATACCCCGCGATTATTAAAGTGGACCCGTCGACAAGACCAAATTCTATTAATAAAATAGTCACAAACGAATTAATTGCTGTTTGTCACATCTCGAGATATTTATAATTTTAGTCTTTTGAAATGCGCACTTGTGCGCTCATGAATATGCTTTGCTCTAGTTTTGGGTTTAATTTATTTGGGACAATTGTAAAGCTTGTAAATTTTCACCGAAAAAAATGCATTCTATCGCAGGCATGTGTTACAATTTTGGTGGATGCGCCGGGTAAACCAACCAAATTATCAATATGTTTCCGAATCACTAAAGCAAAAATAAAGTGTTCGGCCTTGTCAATCGTGCAGTTTTTCCCCAATCCATATTTCCAATCCCCTGGGATTTCAAGCTTTGGAGCCAGTCAGCAATTTGTTTAGATTTTCACAAATAACATAACTTTATTCAGAAGCGCTTGACAATTTAATTAAAATTAAGCAATTAACAATTTAATTGGGATCATTTTTAAAACAAATTGGACTCACTTGTTATAGAGAATCAAATCGGGTCGCCAGACACGGGTGTAAGGGATGCGGATGACTTTAATTCCGGCAAATTCTGAGGCATTCCAACGGAGGTGGTGGTCGATCCAGGCTTGCGTTATCCAACAATTTGTAGTCAAAATTTGGTTTTTTTCGTCCTGAAAATTAAGTTAAGACATGTTCTGACGGTTTCTTGTGGCAGAGTTACCACATCAATTATGTGGTGGAGAGAAATCCCGAAAATAACGGTCAGAGGTAGGGAAGAGTTTTCAGCGGGTCTGACCGCAGCATCGTAGTTCGTCATCAAATGTCGCATCAAACGGGCCTCGTTTTCGTCCCCTTGACATTCTGGAAAAGGATTTTACATTTCAAAAATTGGAAATCCTCAACTTGTCCAAGATTAGTTTTCTTTAGCTGACCACTGTGAACTTTCAATCTGACATTACTGAATTGAACCACTACTATAATGAATGAAATGCACACAAGATGTGATTAATTCGAGTGCACGTTTTGCATTTCCAAAACCCACAACACTTAAAAATGACAAATTACATTCCTGGAACATTTTTCACTCTATTACCAACATAATAAATTGTATTTTATTGGTCCAGACATGAAATATCGAGGCAGATTTTTGGGGGCTGTGGAAGTATTCGGTTCAATTAACTTCCGATTACGAGGCTTGAATTAGAAACCCGCAAAAGAAATTTCTCTTGATTATTCTGAGCCATTGGTTATTCACACTTTTCTCCCCCAACACAAATTGTTTTTACAAATTGTTTAATCCCAGGATTTAGAACGAAAATAATTTAAGGGTGACAATGTGTACACCAAGTCCCGAGTTCTGTAATTAATTGCTTGTGGCAAAATATGAATTTTCGTAATAAATTAATCAAAAATAAAATACATTTCAAGGGTTTTAATGAAAACCTTGTTTTAAACACAATGTTTAGTGAGTTATGAACCTGTTGCGTTCGAGCGAACATAATTTAAGACTCTTCTGTTGCAAGAATTTAATAACTTTTATCGTCCGAGGAGATTAAAAATGCTACAACATATTGCGTAATCAGTGTGATATAGGAGAAACATCTATAAAAGATTATCAAAAGCCATCAAAATTCAACGTTTATCTCTCGTAAAAGCCGACATAATAAAAAATATCAAATATTTTATTTGCGATTAAGAAAATAAAAGCGTTGTTGTAATCCACAATCAAAAAATCCGGATCCTTGGTTTATCTCGTCGTAACATTTTCCACAACCCTTTTATTTCTCTAACTCACTTAACACTGAAATTGTTATTGTTATGGATATGGTTATTATTTTGTGTTTCTTGACACTGAACTTGTGTTCGCAACTTGCCTTGACTGTAACTTTTTCTCATTAAAACTCGTTTACAACTTAACTTAAATTCCGTTCATTTTTCAAAACTCATTGCCTAGAAAAATGTGATTAATTTCCAGGCCCTCATATATCGCGAGAGCTTACAATTTCCATAATTGATGTTAGGTTTAAAAGAAGTTCGTTAAGGTGAATACATTTCAAAAGATTTCTTTTTGTTGGGGGAAAAATTTTATAAAGAGCTTTAGCGCAAATTGCTTTCTACTCGTTTGTAATAATTGACAGGATCTGAACGATGTCGTGGAATAGAAAAGTGTTTCCTTTCTCTAGAAATTTGTTCAGGATTAAACAAACTGTTTTCCTCGAGAGACTAAATTCCGGTTTTTATAAACGATTTGAAGGAGTAATTTCGAAATTAAAGCACTAAATTATCTCGTTCCGTTTAATTATATTACGAATCAAACTTGTTTGTTTCTTATGATATGATTAAAGGTGATGTAGCGTTCTAAAACTTTTTCCGAATTGTGGAAAGGTTTAATTAAACTTTTCAAGTTTCGTGCAGCAGGTGCAATAGACTAACATTATTAGAGTCTCCTCTCTTGTCTATTGTAAACGTAAAATATTCAATAATTTTGAAATTACACGTTACTTCGGACTAGGTATTTTCTTTCATATGATTTCCAGTTTCGTCAGGCTTGATGAGGTGTCTTAATGGTGATAGCAAACACAACACTTTTATTTCAACTACAACAGTTAGTTAAACCGCCTCCAGAAATCAAAGCAATAAACTTTATGAAATTGAAACATCTTGCTTAACAAGATCAGAATATTGCCTCGCGTTCCAGAACTTGCAATTAAATCGATTTTACTAAAATAACATTTTTAAGCCCATTTTGCCAGTTGTTGACTGACAACGTTGGACACAACGTGACTTAATTAAAATAAATGATGGATAAGATCAATTAATTGAAATTTGTCGAAAACAACAAAAACAGGTTTAGCACGGTTTAATGCACACTAATCCCTCGATTGGTGTTTGAAACGTGTTTAAAACGGCATGATCTATTTTGCGTCGAATATCTATAATTAGAATCGTATCGATTTCAGGTGATTGGTAATTGTTATTAATCTCTTGTATTATATGATAAGTCAATTTATCATAGACGAATTTGAGATCAGGATGGTATTTTCAGCAACCATTCAATTACACTCCCCAATAAACAAACCATAATGATTATGAAAATTTCATATTATTTATAAATTAAAACTCATGTCAACGAGAGTCAAGTAACTCAATAGACCGTAACTCATAAAATAGTTTGAGCATGCAAAATCGATGCAAATCTTAATGCGGTGGTAATTGCGGCATTTGTTCGATCAGCTCTGAAACGAAGCAATTAACACGAAATTAAAACCGTTTTCGAGGTATAAATTATTTATCAAATTTAAATTTTAAAGAGGAATTTTCTATGATATTGGTGTTCCTCGTTATACGCCGCTAACCACAAGCCAAGGAACAGTTAATAACACGTTGGGGGACAAGTGCAAACTTTCTGGAATCCTTTAGTTTCATTAGTCGTATATGACTTAGCAGCACAATAAGCAAACACACGGCGGTGTATAATGATGTCCGGAATATATTATACACTTCAGTGTTAGCACAATTTACAAGAATCTTAACAATAAAGCAAAGCTATTTCAAACGCAAGTTGCTTCTCATCTTTAGAGTTACTTGCCACAATGTACTCTAATGATCTCGAGAAAGGAGTGTTTAGTTTGAGGTTTTTTGCAAATATTTACACAGACTCGTTCAGTCGTATCGACTTACGTTTAATCCTTTCTCGGAATTATTGTGGTCTTAAAAATATGTTAATACGTAATTAATTCAGTAATAATGATTGTTATTGATTCGTCAAGTTCAAATATTTTTTATAAAACTTTTCCTGTGAATTATGCGTTTGTAATTATGAGTGATGTAAAATAATGTAATATCGTTTTATTTGTTTTCCTTTCTTACAATTTGAAGGTTCTGTCAAAAAGAACCATTGCATTGTAGGCCATATTGAACAGATTCCGTTTATCTTTTTCCTTTTTTTATGTATCGGTCTAATTATTCTTGTTCTTCATTACTTTGGTAATCCTCTTCTTCTTCATATTTTGTCTCAATCTCCATACTTCTGTTGATCACCCTTTTTTCTTCATTTTTACATCTTCTTATTACATGGTGTTTTGTAAACAGAACAAAAACGGGAAATGCCAAGATGAGATACCAGGAACATGAAAAAAATGTTAAAATATTCTATCTATAAAAATTTCGAAGTTATGAAAGTTTAAATTTTGCACTTTCACTCTACTTATTTCTGTTGTAAAAATAATTTTACATGTTCTTTTGCTACAGACTGTTAGAAGAGCAAACAAAAAAGCTATATCCTAAATTGTAACTATGTTTAACGTTATTTGTAGCATTTATTGACAAAGTTTTTGTACTTTTATTGAATAATTATGAAGAAACATATACAAGATCATCAGTATCATTAAATAGACATAGAAAAAAAAATGTCAAATGTCAAAAAATAAATGTCAAATTTTTTTGGCAGATAGAATTTTTTAAACATTTTTTTATGTTCCTGGTATCGTACCTTACTTGGCATTTTTAGTGTATTTATTGTATTTAGTGTATATATTATTTGCTTTACTTTTTTAGTTTCTTTGGTTACTGCTACTCACTCTTCGCTACACTTCTTCATCCACTTTTCTTCTCTCCTGTTACTTTCATTCGCACAGTTGCTTGTAGTCAATTAACGCTTCCTAGTATTTCTGTTTTTCATCCTTCCTATTCTTAAATTTTCGTGTAATTATTCTTCTTTTCGTCTGGTTGCAATCTTCGTCCCTCCATTTTATACAGCCTTTCACTTTATTTGAATTCGTAATCATGAGTGATATACAATATTTTTTTTAGTACCTAATTAATTTTTTAGAACTATTTTGAGATCCGTCGAGATAACTATTTTTACGTTGCCATTGTAGTCACGTTTTTATTGTTTGTTATAAAACAATATTGACGCTCGCGGAAACACGCAAAGAATTTGGCTTTTTATTATTTTCTGATCGTTTTAAATTTTCATGAAAATAAAAACAATAATGTTGAGAATGTATGGCCAATTGTGTTGTCTTCAAAATTTTTTCCAACGCTGAACGCTAATATTAGATCAGACATTTTGCTAAATTCAGAAAATAAAGTTATTCGTCAATAGCAACGTATGTTATGAGTCTATAAAATATGCTGATGCATAGTGTTTGTTAATTTTGACATACTTTTTTATAATAATGTCTGAATTTAGTAAAATTTCTGATTCAGTATTAACGTTGCAAAAAATTTTGAAGACAACAGAAGTTTTATAGTTTAAAAATCTTGTTGTCTTAATAGCTATAAATTATAAACGATCGCATGGTAATTTGTTGGAAAGATAATTACTAAACATTTTATAAAAAACATTATCTTTTAGATGTACAAAAAATTATTTATTTATTTATTGTTTAACTTGTTTTAGAAAATATAGTTAAAGCAAACAAATGTTTCGCTATTGATTTGTAAAGAACACTTTTATTATAAAGTTTGTAAAGAATGAAAAACAACATTTGTTAAAATTACATTCTAAAAACCAAACTTTGGAATAAGGAAACATATTTTGTTTGTGTAATTTGAGGTTTTAGTTTAGTTAAATGTAAATACAGAACGCGTACTAAATAAAACTTGTTTAGTGAACTTGAATAAAACTTTATAATAAATTAAATATTTATTTCTAATTCAGAAGACATTAAATAAAGAATAGTTTGTCTTTTAATTTTGTATGAATGAACGAAATTTCACTGTTCACATTACTTTGGCAGTAGATGACGAAAGATTGAAACAGTAGTCGGAAAAAACCGTTCAAAGGGCCTTTGTATTTTTTCCGTAGTTTCGGTGCTTTTACTCGCATCTTTTAATTCTTTTCGATTCCTAATATCCCACGTAGATGAGGTCCTTTTATTTTGAACAATATCTCTAGTAATCCATTTATTGTTTCGGCAATCGTTTAGTTGTGTAAACAGTATGACAAGAAGGGAACAATACAGTAGGCTGCAATCCGTTCAAACACACTAAACACGATTTGCTCTCACGAAAACACAGTTTTGCGGTTTAAATAAGCTACAGCTAAAAGCCAACGACGTCGAAATCCTCTTTCGAGCTGTCCTGGAACAGTAAAAAAGCAAAATTGCACGGAGGAATTAACGTAATAGAAATTTGTTTGTTGCTGAGACTAAATTAGCTGGAAGCGCGTTTATGATAATTAATCATGTTGATTATCAAGATGTTGAAACATAATTTATGCACACTACCAAGTAATTTGAGAAAAATCATTGGCTGATTGCTAATACGCAATATTCACAGTGGCGGGTCTTTAATGAAGAGGTTCATACTTGACCTAAATCTCCCCATTATCTTCGAAGGGAGTCGTCGAGATTTTGCTGCGTTCGAAAAACATCCCTCTAATTCTCGCCGAAATAAGTGTTATGACTGTAATAATATCGCGGTCATGGTATTTTTACTGTCGAAAATTGCAACTCGTTTTATTAAAAATTAAACCATTAGGATGTAGAGGGTCTTCAACTCTTCAGAAAGCTGCATGCAATTACGAAAGATCCTCAGAGGGTGCGTTTGCAGGAAATGAGAGTATTAATTCGTCCTGTAAGATGACAATTTCCATTTGAATAATTCTCAAAAGACAAGTTTTGTGATTTTAGCCTGTGTTAATATTGGACACAGTCTCAAGTGTATTTGCAGGAGTTGCAGGGTGATTTATTAACTGTCTTTTCTTTGGTTTAAGATATTGACATTTTGCTAATTTATCGGTGGTTTGAACATAATCGACAACACTCTTCTTTTTCATCAGTTGTAACCCTTCATTAATTTTAATTATGGGCACATTTACGCACCATCGGGCTTTTTTCCTGCTTTATCTCTAAACACAGGAGGAAGAGTTCTCATTAAAATCCTTACATTAGCTTTCACATATTCGAAATTGTAATTTCCGGGCCCAAACAAAGGAGAGAAAGGCAAAATAATGCTTTAAGGTTCTTTTCAACAGAATTATATCTCTGCTCAATTATCCAATTTGTTTCAAAACGAAATAAACAACTTGACAAATAAAGATTTGCTTCATTTAAAAAGTTTTACAAATTAGAAAAGTACTTGCAATGAGATTTTCTTACAATAAAAGGAAAATTTTTGGTGGTAGATTTTACTCTGATAATTAATTTCTTGAATGGACATTGACAAGTAACAAATGAAAAAAAAAACGAATTCGAGGAGTGGAAAAGAAGTAGTCCAAATTAGAACTTAAATGATCTGCAGACGTGATTAAGACAAACAGAGGAAAAACTAAAGGGAAGATTTATTGGAAATGAGCTCTATTTTAATTCTCAGGTGAGAATTAAAGAAAGAGATCCCGATTATTGGTTTTATTTTTGGATAGGATCAGCTGTTTGATTTTTCATTTGTTGTAGGTAATAGTAATTTACGTTATAAGTCCAGGATGTGAAATTTATTTTATTTCATACTGTTTCAAGAAACTTTGTCAAAAAAATTATTTTTTGTTCCAAAAATCACAATCCTGAAAGTTGCTTACTTACACTTACTGGCTCGAATACAGTAATAGCTCACTCCTCGGGCTCAAATTATTAGATAATATGAAATAAAATACTAATAATAATCAACAAGTAATAGTTTACAAAGTAAAGTTTTAAGCTTTGGAATATTTAATATTATAGTTATTAATATCTGCAATAAACATGAGAAATTTAAATTAAGAGAGAATATAGCACAAAGTATGTCATAAAACTCATAAATATTACGCTGAAACATTTCGAGAATTATTTATTTGTACTTGTTTATTAAAATGTATATGGATTAAAAAAAAACGCTCCAAGCCATAATTTTCATTACTTTTAAAGGCGTTACAATACTTTATTGATAAAAATTGTACAGTTTTTTTGTTATCAGTCGTTTGTTGGTCTTAAATAAAATGCATAAAAATGTTCTATTCTTTCCACGGCCTAATTTATTTAATTTAATGTTTAAATTGCCTAAAAGCAAAAGTTAGTTATAAATACTAGTAAATGAGCTTGGTAAAAGACAATTTAATGAGGAATCCAAAAATAATAAAATATACAAGGTGTTTCATTAAAAAAACTGAAATTGATCTCAGTTCCGCTAAAACAAGAAGTAGCACTGGTAGAGCATCTATCCCAAGCAATAGATGACAATAACTTATGCAACTTTGTTGTAAGAAGGGTGAGCCAAAACTCGCGCACCAGAGAAAAGTTTCAAGTAAGATAAGATACAGGAACATGGAACAAAATGTTTAAAAAATTATATCTGTCAAAAAATGTTTACATTTATTTTTTGACATTTGGCATTTTTTATGACTATTTAATGATACTGATGATCTTATATATGTTTTTTTTTAACAATTATTTAATAAAAGTACAAAAATTTTGTCAATAAAAACCTCAAATAACATTAAACAGAGTTAGAATTTAGGATATACCTTCCTTGTTTCCTCTTGTAATAACCTGTAGCAAAAAAAACTTGGAAAATTATTTTTCTAACAGAAATAAATAGAGTCAAAGTGCAAAATTTAAACTCTCATAACTTCGAAATTTTTATAGATAATTTTTTTTAACATTTTTTCCATGTTCCTGGTATCTTAAATTTTTTTCTGGGGCGCGAGTTCTGGCGCACCCCTGTATGTATGTATTGTCATATCTTTAAAAATAATTGAGTTGAGCTTGGGGCATTTTTCATAATCTAGCCTGTATTTAACCCCAAAAATACGTGCTTTTTGGATAAAAAATTTAAGATCTTAAAAATTCACAACTAATTTTAAGCAATTCATTGAAGGTTTTAAGAAATATTAAATTGTTATTTTTCTATATAAATTTAAAAACATTGATTGATTTAACTTCTAGGTAATTAATGTTTATAAATTTTACACTTTTATAAAATAAAAAATCAGAGAAAATAAAAACCTAAATAAAAATTTCAGTTTAAAAATGAATTATATACTCGTAGTTTCTAAAATCTCTAAAACTAAGTACTCGTATATCTTTATCTATCCAATATAAGAAGGTGATTTTTTATTACAATTTGAATATTATTATGAAAAACTAGCAAAGATTCGAATTTCTCTTCTAACTTTTTTTAGAGCTTTTCGTATATCTGCGAATACAAGTTCTAGAAAACTGTAGAATAAATTTATTGAACGAACTTTGTTTTGATCCTCTGACAGATCACATTAGAAAGGGAAAGTGACATCAATCGTAATTCGAAGAGGTTGTAACTAGAAACATACATAAAGAAAACTGAGAAATAATCTAATACAAAAAACCCAATGTCGCTGTTGGCTTAAAATATTTGATAAGCGATATCGAAAAACGATTAGGATGGTTTAAATGTCTTAAAATTTCGGCTTAAACACATCAAATAGGCCACAATTTCTCTAACTTTCAGTAATGTTACAATTTGTTATAAGTTGTACGATCATTCAACCCTTACTTCGATTGCTTCTGAATAGCGGGAAGTTTGTGTTTGATTCAAGAGATTTCAGATTACTAATCCCAAACTTAGTATTCATTAGTAGAAAATCAGTTTAGGTAACGAAAACTTTTGATTCTGTCATAAACGAAATAACACAAATAATAACCACAAAGCTTCCCCAGTAAAAAAAACGATTCAATTTAGGCCGTAGTAAAAAATCAAATAAAGCTTTTGTATGTAAGAGGAGTAAGCGAAAACACATTGCTTTAATTCGAGAAGAACGAAAAAAATTAATTGGTCACAACCCGTTTTGGGGGAAAGCCTTTAATGGCTTTTTGAATCAGATTAAAGTTATCGAAAAAAGTTCATATTTTTTTAACAATGTAGTAAGCCGGGAGCTGATGTATTTATTTACGCTCCCTAAAAAGATCAAACAAATTTAAATTATTTACATTTACTCTTTAATCTTTTCTTAATTAGAAGAAGGAAAATATTTTGATAAATTTCTTTATTGATCATAAAGCAGAAGACGTTGTTATGAATTTCTGCAATAACAATTAGTATTTTTCATAATAGGAAAAGATTTATACTTGAACGTGATTTACCTACGCGAAGTCTTATTTACTCATACTAATAAACGTTTTCCTTCCAGATATTTTTGTCCGTGTTATTGCACGAAATTAAAAGCATAAATTTGCGAGAAGCGTATGCGTCTTGGAAAATGATGAGTATTTTGACACCGTTTTATAAATATGTTGAACTTCCTTACGATTTCCTTTAATCCCGCATTCAGACCGAGTTATTACTTCAAGTGCTTTTATTTCTTAAAAAACTTTTATGCAGTCTGAAATTTTTTGAAAGCTTTTACAAATACATTAATATTCTATCAATAACCATTTTGTAAATCTGCATTTATACAGAAAACACCTCAAAATTAATTGATTTAACAATATTTGTAATCTGTGAACCAATCAAGAATCAAAATAACACAAATTTGTCCGATTAATTCGGTAGTCATGCCGAAAACCCTTATTTAAATTAGCCACATCTTCGCTAAACCGGAAAATTGTCGTAGCAATTCAATTCAACAAATAAGAGGAAAGAATTTTATTGTCAATCTTGGGGTAATAAAATTTTAAGTACAAAAACAAGACAAATTAAATTTACGATGCGAATTTATGACAAATCGCTAAAACTATCTATTTTTTAACGTTTACTTACCTCGCAACAAGATTAAAAGTATCGGGATGTGAAAGTGGCATAAAAACAATTTCATTTTTTTGGGGAAATTTTAGTATTTTTTTCCAAGTGAAACTCTAATTACTTTGCCTGAAACTTGTTAAACAGTTTTATTTGGTCATTTTTAAAGTTAAGTTTCGCGTGACGGCAGGTTTCCGGTAAAGTCCGGACTTTGAGTAAGCATCCCGGAGTGGAAGCGCAAACTGACTCATTCGCTGTATCTCACACGGAGCTATATTTGACGCATGTCAACAAGTAGATAATATTTTGTCTTTTGTAGGCTTATTTGTAAATAATCTGTCATCCACTGTTAGAATATCCGTCTTTCCGATAGTTATTTTTAGAAGAGAATTTTTTCGTGTTTCGCCAAGCGGCGCCCCATCATTTAAATATTATCAACCATTCCGGAAAACTAATTATCTGTATTCGGCAAAGCCAGCTGAAAACTTCTCACCCTTTTAAAAGCGCCTTGAGATACTTTAATTATCATCTGACCACGGAATAAAACTCTGAACCAAAGTTTTCGTTAAATAATTATTTTTCCAATTTTGCAATGCAAATTACTGAAAAAGATATTATCGACGAAAATCAAAGGAGTTGCCGCTTTTAGCTTAATTAATCTTTCTTGCAAAAATATTTACTTGGAAAGAGAAGCTGCGGTGTTTTCACTCACATTTTTTAACGTCAAGAAGTTTTAAATCTACTCTTTCCAAATCCAGACGTATCGACCAATTGTCACGGATTTTCCGCACAAACGGCTAAAACAAGGCGACAAATGATTTAGGGCAAGAAAATGTTTTCATAATTTGTGACTTATTGAATCCTAAACAAAAATCAATTTATGTCAGTGTTATACAAAGTTTTCAAAAAAAAAAATTTCAATACTCTGAATACACTATAATTGTAGAATCTAATAACGCAATTATCAGACAAAGGATTCTTGAACTTAATTTAAAATTAGTTCTTGAATTGTTCTTCATCTGGATATTTTACTTTTGCCCGAATGCAACTTTTCAATAAACTCAGAAAGCTTATTCACCAAGTCAAACATAAAAAGTTTCTCATCACTGTCCAATTATAAAACAAGAAACGCAAAACTATCCTCTTGTAGTTATCTCGATAATTCTAAAGCAAAAAAATCCTTTATGTTGATATAGATCATTGGCTTTTCGAAACTTATCAAACTTTTAACAAGAATAAGAACAGATTTAACTGATGTCTTGACAAGGTGCTTGTTGGGTTCATTAAGACAAGTTTTGTACCCAAAGGCAAGTTTTTCCTTAATAGTTAATTTCACAACTGTGAAAGATTAGATACTGAATCAAAGTGGAGTAGGACGAGGGAACGATCCACCATTTATTGCCCTAATAATTTAAGTACGTACCTGTCTGTCAAATACGGGGACGTAGCCTAAAAGGTTTTTTACCAATTTACGTAATAAAATGGGGCTTAATTTAATTAGCGTTTCAAAAACACAATAAGCGGGGAAAATCTGTTAAGAGGGGAGCATTAGGCTATTGAATATTTAAATGAACAAAACTGGTGGCAGTTGGGACGTTGTAAATATTTATATTTATTTTTTGGATAAGTGTACTCGACAGGGTGTTATGCAGCTGTGAACACTAACAACAGGCTACTTTCTCTATTTTCATTTTACTCAAATTTTACATATTAACTAAATCAATTTAAAACATCAAGCCCTTTATTAATAATAATAAAGAGTTCAGTTATCAATTTGACTTTGTTTAGTATATAATGTTGCATGATCAGTGTAATATAATATTTTGTACAGTAAAAAAATTAAAGGTAAAGCACGCACAGTATTTTATTGTATCTAATTTGTACTGTATAAAAGTAAAAAATAACAAACGTTCAGTAACTATAATCAAAATGAGTAAAAATACATAAAATTTAGAGAACGTATTTATTTTCAGTCTTGATTACATAACAATTAATGGGCCTTATGCTAGAATATTATTTATTATTGTATTACTAAACATTTTTTACTTTACTGAGCAATTGCAATCATTTTACTGAGCGTTTATCATTTGGTATATTAAGCGTATACTTTTCTATGAAACACGTTTTTTTCTACTGTGCATTTATTATTTCTTTGAACATTCACTGTTTTTACTGAGAACAATGTACTTGTTGTTTAAGTACAATACCGAGCATTTAATTTCGACTCTCCCAACGAAAACTATAGTTACTCATATAAATTAGTTTGGAGTTTTGATGGCTTATGTAGGGCCCAAAATACAAAAACAGTGAGAAAAAATTTCTTTGAATAAACAATATTATTACCAAAACTTAGACCTTCAGCAATTTTCATTAAAAAAAAAAGATTCAATGCAATTTTTCTCAAAACTGTAAATTTTGAGTTACTATAGTTTTCGTTGGGAGAGTCGATTTGTGACTACAATTATTATTATTATGTATTGCGATGCAATTTTTTCTTTTTATTTTTTTTTCTTCTTTCTTTTTTTATTTTTCTATTGTATTTAAAAAAAAATATAAATCTGTCTTA